ATATTTATTTCATCAGTATCTCTTGCTTGTCATTTTGTACCTTGAAATTAGTTTGTCTCTTTACCGGAACAAATTATGCTTAGAAATGACTGAAAAATAAATCGGTAAGGGATCGAGCAATTTCGTGAACAAGAAACTTTGTTTTTGGATAGCTTGTTTTGTTTATTTTTTTTTGGTTTTCCTAGGGAGATATTCGATATACTCTGGTTTTGTACAAAATAGTTTCTTCCATTATTTACTGTTAATATCATTGCATCAACGGAAAGGATGAATGAAAACCAAATTGGTATTTTTGTACAAATCACTNTGCTGACAAACGGTCATCGAGTGTCAAGTTTCTACCCAGAGTAGTGTGGTATCCAACTGTAGTTATGTCGATTTACGAATCAGTCACTGACCTTGGGAAGTAAACAGCAAACAAACCTTCCACATATATGATGCTCACAGAGAGAGAGTGAGATATACGATGAATCTTTTGACGTTTGAGAAAAAATCGCTCTGTACAAAAGTTCAAACAACTACCGTAGAAAGTGAAGAAGTTGTTGTTAAGCAATTTCTTGTGCCTAATTATTGAAAAATTTAACTAAAGGAGACAATAGGATAACCTTTTTCTTCAAAAGTCTTTTCTGTATGTGAAAGACCAAAGGCGTAATTCGATTATCACTTACCGTTCAAATCATCCAGCCTACGGTCACGAAAGAAGCACAGAACGACCACGCGTGTACGCGGCACCGCCAGTCCTCACGGAATCACACACTATCCCCAATCTGGTAATCGATGCCTATCAGGTAATTTTACATCTGCCTTATTTTAGTTCCATCCATTCTGATATGCTCAAACCAATGCCTGAGAATCATCTTTCCTATGGGGTTCGGTAAACGCATAAGTGATTTTGAATACCTGAGATTATCAGCCCAACTCGTTAACTTTCGAATGTCGTATGGAGCGATAATATTATTGGTGTACTGTTGGTTAAATAATGTATAGCAAACTACGGCATATGTATACGTATATGTATATATTTATTCAAAAATGAGAAGCCTTGGGAGAAACGATACTCTTATTCTGCCGTTTCCATCTAAACTAGTGCTCGTAGCACGCAATGTATACATGCCAATCAAAACGAAAACGCAAGAGGAATAATAATGCGTACATAGAACATGTGTCAGCCTTATAAAGACACCAGAGAATATAATCATTGATAACACAAACTACCTTCCTCATTTTCTTGATCGCTATTTATTTCTGTACTGTTATTCCGAACGGATCCTACATCTGAACTTTTGTCTCTGGGTTTTTCACCATGTGCAATCTGATCATAACCGTCCTTTTGCCTCATTTCATAGTGCCCTAAACCGCCGAAACAATTTAAAATAATGGTCGATGTTACCCATCAGGTAGTTTACCGCTTCAGACTTGTTCACCCGTGTACGCAACCAGCCGTTCATATATTTAAACGTGGAACACCTGAAACCCAAATCGGTTTTATTGTGATTTTCTCCCCCAACCGTAAAATATGTTTGGTCCCCGATAAATCAGATCGTATAGCACGATGATTCCCACTCGGTGCTATTGAATGTCCCGACAAATGGTATGTTTTTGTTTGAGTATGTGTGCGGGTACCATTCCCAGTTATCTCCATATCAAATTAGTTGTTTTGCAACCATTCCAGTTTTCTGCCACTCCCACTCCTCTGCCCCATCCAATCATACCCACCTTTGTTCAAGCTGATCTCATCTTTTGCTCACTGAACCAGTCCCATTTCCATTTCCAATTTCCTGTTGCACCTTTCAGATGAAAAAAGATGACTATAAAGCTGAACTACCGCTCCCGTTGAGACCTGGTCGTAGTGCGACATTGATTGGTCACTTTGTGCACACGAAAGATGTGCCCGAGTCGTGCTCAATTCTGCTCACCGGACCGACAGGTGAGGAATCGACACTGATCTTGGAATTGTGGTCAAACGCGCGACTGGATGTGTACGGGTTTGTCAACCACAAACCGGTCATGTTGTTACGCTGTGACAATGTCAAATCCGATATCGAATCGGAGTTCGTGTTGGAATTGCACAACCGAGACGCGAAGTTGGCTGTGAGTTTACATCCATTAACATGATGAAGCGTACACAGTGGATACATTTGTTCTCTAACGTTCTATTATCGAGTGTGCTTATAACCAATCACCCCGAGAAACTCGATTTGCGCGACTTCAAGTTTCATTTGCGCGTCACACGTTTTCCGCGCTCAATCGGGGACTTTCTTTTGCTGCATATGGTGTGCGGATTCATTATGTAGGGTCAAGTTAGCAAGTCATCAGTTATATAGCACAGTCGCACTCTACAGCTGTCTCACCTTTATTGCACATATGCAGAAGTACATATCAGCTGAACCTCCTTTCTCTTTGAATCAACAAAGTGAGAGAGAGAGAGAGTGAGAGAGAAGAAGAAGATGCCAATCTTTAGCTCATTCATGATGATAGTACATGCTAATCGGTCAAACCTAAGGACTAATGAATCAAGAACCAAATGGCATAGCAACCAGTGGTTTCAGGACAACAAAGGCCAGTCAGCTTAATCCGAGCAATCGATCTGGGGTAATTGTTACTCGTATCAGCAGATCTGACATAACGTACNACCAGCAGTCTCACAAAACCTTTTCTGAAATTTGATATGTTATGAAACCTGTCATATAGCACAGAGTCCACTATTATCAGTAAGGAGCCATGGAGATAGTAATAAGCTATATATGATATCACCCGGTTAGGGATTAGCAGTCACATTTTTCCGTCCGTATGTTACCTAGTCTACTATTGACGACGAGGTGAACAATTAGCGAATGCACCAAACCACTGTTTGTGAAGATAGTATACTGGGAAATAGGACCAATGAGATGAAAGATATATTTTGAAATATGTATCCAGATGTTTTCTATGATATCCTTAAATACCGTTTTATGCTGTTCACCGAGGTCAATAAAACCAGCCTTGAATTGAGTCAGGACTAAACGTATAGCATGNNAACTTTCCTGTCCCCGTAAAGTGTAGCCAATATGAGTAGAAATATGTGAGCTCATTTGTGAATCACTTTGTTAAGTTCAGTTCATTATATTAGAATAATCGAGAACGTAGATTGAGTGTGACTGAAATACAAATGGTTCACCTAACCGACTTTGTCCACAGAGACAGAGAAAGAGTATAGTGCAGTGGGTAAGCCCGCGTATGAACGTTGTTTTCTGCTTCATTGATGGTAGATTGGAAAATCTTTGACCAAAAACTAGTTCGGAAATCACGTTTGTTAGAAAAATTCACAATGATTTATATTGGATCAAAATCCAAAACAACTCTTTGAGAGATGGAATTTTGAAATCCGAAATAGGACTCCTCGTTTTTGGATCAACACGATATGACTTCATGGAAATTGCTATGCATTCAGCGCACACTTAAATGTCTGGTAATGCTTCCGGTTANCTCCCACTATTGACACCGGATACATAATAAACGCAAATCAAGTGTCAAAATTTGGCTGTCTTCAAAAGAATCATCATCTTCCACAATGGAAAAGTACTTTCTCTTTTAGCATAAAGTGGCATATATGACATATCCTCCATGTGAAAATGTGTCAAACGTGCACTTTTTTCAGCCGAGTTCTGACTAGCACACTGATTTCTTTGTGGGCTTTGAAAAATGTTTCCCGGAGCGGTAAAACTTCATCTTTTGAAGCTAGCCGACAGAAGAAACATGGCATGCAAATATCTTCCTGAGATTGGAAGCTTGCACTTATGAACGAATGGTGCCTTCCGGTTTCCGTAGCACAGTTTTGGTTTGAAGAGACCAGATCGATGTGGCCCCTGGGAAGCTTGAGTACCGCATGCACTGAGTCATATGCGAGGTGTTTTTTCAGTTGGTCGGCATTGTTCTCTCGCATTCTTCGTTTCCGTTCTGAGTATTTCACCGACTCCAATAGCCCCTGATCAATTGAATAGCCAAATTAATAATTACTACATTCCGAATGGTTAATACCTCGACTTTCAAGTATGGGTTATCACAAAGCTAAACGGTTTGTTGATGACAAATATATTCGTTCATGATTTGTTTCGTTCCGTCCCCGATATCTCTCTCCCTCTCAACCGCATCTAAACAGATCACAGTTCGTGACGGCTATACAGTTTTCGTTCCGACTAATGTGGACCCAAGTACTTTCACATTTATCAGCTTGGAACCCTGTGACAACGCGATGCTGACGCATCTGTCGATTTCTAACACCTTGGTATGTCAACGCCGTGCACCTGTTTACACCGCTTCTCCCTCCTCTGCTTCCCATGGTGATTTCAATTCACCGGGATTGGAATCCTTAATGAGTATTTGGAGAAATCTAGAAGAAAAAATGTTGATATTTTCCAAATGTAATGCTGTATTTCTCCCTCGACAAGTTACTTTTGCATCAAGCCGATCTTCTAATTAAACTGAGAAGCGTTTAGATATGCCGATTCAGGACAATTGCATTGTCATATCTGACAATGGTTTATTTTGACTTGAGTGTTACCATATTCCTGTTGATGTCCACCGCAATCACAAAAATCGGTTCATTCGCACAGATAGGTTCGGATCGCGATTTCATTTCATGGGTGAAATGTTTTCCATATACGGGATATATTGCACAACGATGCATAGTCCATTTTAGTGCAGTCCAGCGATACCTTGTTCAAACGTTTCAATTTGCAATCATTTTAGTGCAGCGGTTCATCAATTCAACTTACATAAGATCAACGTATTGATTCCAATATCCGTTTGGGTCAATCGTCTTTTTCCGAATTCGACCACTCCAGCTTGACATGGAACATTCACATAGGTAACAATGCTACTTAGCACATACATGTCCTCAGATGTGAGCCACTTGTGCCGATCGATGCCATAGTGTTTTAATCAATATGCTCATCAATCCAGAGGCCTGGAGGTTGTGTATTTCAACCCCACTATAGCCGCCTACCGTCCCTAACTTCATCTAGTCTTTGAATGATAGTAACTCCTTCCTCGAAGCTAACTGACGGATCGAACATTCAATGAACAAAAGGAAATAAAACGTTTCATAGTTTTATTCAGTGAAAATTCAGTGCACAATGTGCTTAGATCAGGATAAATAAAAGTACTGTGAAATTTGGAATGTATTATGCAACAGTGTGAAGCATTATCATTTTTGACGGTTTTCTTTAAATACTAATATATATTAATAATTTATTAGTTTATTTATTGAGGATGTGATTCGTCCTTTGGTTCATGTTGCATTTCATTAGTAATATCGTTTAATAATAAAAACCTATTTTAATTACACAAAAGCACTCAAACGGGACATAAATGAACAATGAATCTTTGCGGAGTGCCTGGTTGATTTTTGTCATAGTATCATTCTAAATTTCGGGTCGAAATACAATTTTGCAATGATCAAAACGTGGTTATATCGAAAGTTTTTATCAGTTACAAAAACTATCGCTCACCTCCAATGATGATTAATTGTAAATTTTCACTTTGGTTATTTGAATGACACTTTGGTGCAACTTTCAGTAGATAAATCAATTATTCTTGGGTTTAAATTTATGAAACTTTTTCCGATAAACACCTGTGGATCTATGTGAATTATAACTGGATAGTATAAAACAGTTTTCCTCCGTTGTCACTGACAGTATTTTTCCTGGATCCGGAGAATGTTCAACAATTTGTGATGTTTTAGTAGGCTTTAATGTTATGAATACGTGATATCAGGAATCCCTGTGAAATTCTATGAGTGTACACTTTGACTGAATGTGTCTGGTTTCGGAATAGTTTCCGGTGATCGCAAGCAAAGGCATTTGATAGCCTCAGCGACAGCTACAGCTAGGCTTCATTCCAACTTGAACAGTGTTCTCAAGTTCAAACCTGAAACATGTTCCAATCAGTCAATCGATTCATTGTATTGCATTGTTCAACCTACCAGCATCTTTTACTGGGGTACCGCTGAGATGTTCCATAGGTCAGTCACATTCATTTCACATGCCTGTAATTACCTAGCTGACTTTAACATTCTTGTTCAAGTAGCTCTCGCACTCTCCCAAGTTATAATTTACAGTCCATGTGGTTTCGTTTGCACACTTGTATACTTTGCTATTCTCCGCCTTCATGTTAGCATTGTGATTTCCCTGTGCAAATAACCACTCGTGATCAGACCCGTTTGTGCGCATGCCAGCCACAGGTTCGTTAAGTCTGAATTAAGGTGAAAAAAATTTACGACAGTGAAAGAAAGGTCACCATAAGTCCATCGTGTGCACGCGTGTACACGTGACTGTGTGGGCTGTGTTATAATGACTGATTGATTGATTCGAAGCACCCGCACATCAATTCGTCCTCACAGAAAACAAAAATGATTGATTTTATCCTTCGGGTCCATCAGCAGGCAAGTAAAGTTTCATCGCACGGAGCACAAGTTTGTGTTCGGAGCTGAGCAAATCAATTTAGTCAATGAAACAGCGGGCAATATATCGAACTTCATTGCATACAAGTGCTTCAAACTCATTTGTATGGCAACTTCTGTTGACCAGCGCCTGTTTACGGTTAGAATTAATTTGATTGCACGTAGCCTAGTCCGTAAGTAAGCATAGATGCAACATTTATCTTCCGTGAAGGGTAACTCCAGGTTAAACCGCATAGGCAGCTTTTGTGTATACATGTATTTTTGTTCATAATCTACGAAGGCTCCTGATCATTTTAGAAATCAACCACTGAGAGCAAAATCTCAAAGCTATCGGCTTTTTCTGTTTTATGGTGATGCTATTTGCCTTATATGGAAATAATCAACGCTTTCTGGACACACAATGCCCATTGAAGTGGAATACAATGATTGATTTCTTTTCAAGGTTGAGAAATTGCATTGGGTCCCGTGTAGATGTTTCACCAGGGCGCTATTCATGGAACTATATTTGCGAATGTCATCTTTCGAACTATTCTATCAAGGGTTCTGCGATTAAAATAACCTGTGATCCGACCAAGATATTTGCGGCCGTAGACAGCACCAAGGTTTCCTGTGCTGGTAAGGCTTGCGAAATCGTTGTTACAAAAGTTGCTCGCCTTCTTCGATTCCAACCGCTAAA